CCATCTTTACTGTGTTGAGCGCGTTTCAGTGTACTCACCCAGTGAGCTTACCCTGGCGAGGCGCGGGTCAATACGACCGTGGCCATGGACTTTGTCGGGTGGCGAGGCCAGAAAGAAGTTAATGACCGCCGTCCAGTGATGAACAGTTAGGGAAGCCCTTTGGCTGACGTGAATGAAATCTCTCCGCATGTGTAACAGTCGCACATCCTTCTCCTCCCCTGGCTCAATGGAGAATGGTCTTCTGTAACGTGCAGTATAACCCTGGGTGCTCTACGCCGCGTGGCACCACGCAACCGTTGGCAAACGACAGACAAATACACACACACCACACACTGACGTCACTGACATCTCTGCAAATGACCAGATCTGACTGATCTGTCCGTCCCTCACCCACGATCCAGAGTGGTCCTCTCTAGAACATCACAACTTATCCCAGCTTTGTGTGGCTGTGAAGATGAAGTCGTCATCAACCCTACAGCACCGTACTGTAGTGGTGACCTGGGAAACACCAGGTTGCGTCCCGGCAACAACCTGCACAACAATAGCACTCACTGTGAGTTTTGATCTCTGCGCACGAGAGCATCACACGCGAATCAGCTGTCGCGGAAATGTAAAATTAAGAAACATACACGTATTCATCTCTGCATTCTGTACCTTCCAAAGGCATGGAGTGCATGGATGTAGAAAAGCGACCGCCAGAGAAGGGGTATCTTATTGCGGAGATCTTTTACTGTCATCAGCCGAATGACTAAGGTGATCAAGTAAGGATAGCTATCCTTCCTGATGCCTGTGTCGGATGCCTAGATCTTGAAGGCTTATCATAACGCAGGGTAAAGTCTTTGTAGCTATTTGTGTACAAAAGGGCGCTGGACAGTGTAGTCTGCGCAGACGAAGGAACGTATGAAACAACAGCATTAGAGGAAACTTGGAGGAACACTACTCAGTGCAGTTTTTTTGGATAACAATGAATGTCCTGACCTTGTTTATGGACACTATCAATATGGCAATTAGTCTTTTACATCCATTTGATCCAGTGTATCGTACGCAATTTGGGCTTGTGTTATCATCATCCGTGACGGATTCTTGAATCCTACCATTGGAATCAATGCCCTTGATGCCACATCTGTGTCTCAAACTGTCATCTACAAGAGAACACAACTAAAAATGACTTTTAATTAATTTTTTAGTGTTGTAGGACCTAACTGAGGCTGATTCACATCAATATATTTATGTAGAAGTAAGCCGCAAAACAAGATTATATACTAAAATGAACGTTTTCCTTAATCAGATGAAGATTAAAGTGGAAAAAAGCAATAGAGAAAATATGATAAGAATTTAATATTAACTTAAATAACGTGTCTCAACATCGAGTCCATTATCTCTAAAGAAAAAAAAGAAGAAGTAAAGTCCAGACAGAGCCAGAAAGAAAAAAGAAATGAGGTTTCCTGATTGGGAGGGGCCCAGTCACCTGTGTCACTGTGCTGGGGTGAAACAGTGTGTTTGTGTAGGTGACAAACTGCAGCTGTCGTTCAGGTTCGGGCAAGGAGGCTGGCTAGACAGGTCAGTGGTGCATTGCTCACCCGTCACAATACTGATTTTTGAGTTTTCACCATGATGTACCCATCGTTACCTCTGGCTTGTGCCAACATTTTCAGACGTTTTCCCAGTGGGTTGCAGTGATGTTTTATCTGCAGCAAGTAGGAAAAGAAGTAGGCTGAAAATTTTTTGGGGGTGGGATAAAAAAAACACACTTATAAAACCGAGTTGTTTTGTACCACCAAACCCAGCCAAGTTGGCAAGTGGATGATGTGTGCTCACAATAATCTGCCCTTCTCTCAGCTGAAGTGTTGAATAATCGGCCACGTAGGTTACCTTTCTATGCATGTGAACGTTCTATGATGTTACAGTGAAGTTTACCTTTCTTCGAATATCAAAATGTCATCTCTTCAGAGTCTTATCCTTTAGACATTTGAGTTAACTTGTGTCATAATTAGTGTAATGAATTTTATGAGTTATTGGAAAAACGTGTTTCTGCCGGGTGTAGCGAGTGGGTCACGGGAGGCCATATATTAGGTAGGACTAGTTGTTTTCTATAAACTATTTTAAACTATTTTAATTTTACATTTGAACTTTTGTACTATTTTTATTATTCAGATCATTATCAAAAGCTAAGGTTGGGTTGTAAATAGTCCATGATACTCTAGTAACTTTGTATGGAGTCATGCAATGACTGTATTTATGAAAGAAAACTATTTTTTTGAATGCTGCTATGAGTTGTCTTTAATTGTTTGTGGTTTTGTACTTTGTGTTTCTACATAGATAAAATAACAAAATCTGGATTGTGGAAGAGGCTCATATTGGGAAGTCTCTCAGAACTATCTTATTATGCATTATTTTTACTCATAATCTGGTTTGTTGACGGATTAAAAAAAAATATTAGCAGCACGCTCCAGTCTTCGACAGTGCCAGTGACAAACAATGATTGTTATGTCAGCCTGTTTACTTACAAGGCATCTTGTAACGGTAAAGTTCGTCATATAACATCAGTTACTTCAAGATTTGGTGTAAATGGAAACATTGAATGTGTAGTTAGATTTCCTTACAATGGAATATGTCGCTGTCTTTTGTTTTCTGGGAGCTGTCCAAGTCCACTGCTGTCACTCGTAAGAACCTCGTGTTCACATCTTGGTGTCTGAAAGAAGAAAATGCTGAATGACATACACAGAGAGAAATAAATAAATACACACGAATGTCTGTAGTTCCTGCAAAACCACATTAAACCCAAAGACAAAATCTGCACATTAATCCCTTGCTCATTCTCCTGTCCACAGCTTTGTAGGTCAGGTCAACAGTGATTCAACAGTGTAAATGCAACTACAGACCGTCTTTATGATGAGATCACAGTAGTCACGACATATGAGTATCCAGTGTCATAACTACATTTTGACGGACTGGTGTGTGGTCACAATCCCCACTTTCAACCTCCCTACTTCCAGCATCCCATGCTTGCACCACACCCACCTTCAAAACCTGGACCTCATTTTGAATCTGTGATTATTAGCTGACTACACCATTTATCCCAGTTCCAAAGGCCAGGGTCATTTTACACTGAATTATTTTATGGGGTTCAGCCTCATATTACAAATAGCCCTCTGGCCCAACATCTCTGGTCTGGGTCAGAGTCTGGCTGTTATCTTCTGGTATTGACTGACAGCCACAAGATTTTCTGTGTGTGCCAGAATTGGTCATGTGTGCAAGTAGCATCTTACAATTAAGCCATGTATGGGCAGATTCGGCCCATAGAACTGAGCGTACACTGGGCCAGAAGAAACAACATGTGTACAAGTGTGGGCTGCATTTATTTTGTTATCTGTTTATGTATAGCATGTTGACTGTGTGCCATTTCCTCACTGTCTGGGAGCTGCTCCTCCAATCACACAGTGAGGAAGCTTGTGATTATATTAGTCACTGTGGCTACATTAGACTTCAGTGACTTACCTCAGAGACGGTGGTGCTGTAGGAATCCTGTTTCAATACTGGCCTGTGGTCATTGATGTCATTGACTTTCAGTTTCCGCGTGGGTTTGTTGTACTGGGAAGATAAAAACATCATTTTGAAATATTTTGTTTTGTAATATAACTAAATAAATTCTGCAACTTTATCATTTTCACCCACCTTTATTTGTCCGTCACACATGACAGAGTAATGCAAGATGCCGTCACTCTGTAAGACATGAACACAGTGGACTTCAGGTCTGTGGAGATCACTGAGAACACCGTGGGGCTTTGTAGGATAACAATTAACTGATAAAGTCTATTATTACTGTAGTACAGGTAAACTTCGGTCATTATGTCATTTAACCTAAGGAACCAATCCCGTCAAGTTTCAGGGAAGGGGGGCGGGGCAAAATAAACCTGAAGACCTTGTCACTTACAGAGAGCGAGAGTTAGCATTAGCACAACCGCTAACACTGTGTGTGGTCAGCCACTGCCAGTTCACAGCTAAAAACAACATAAACAAATAAAAGATGTAACTATGCTAACTGATCCGTCTGCAGTCTCTGGTTCTGGTCTCAACAGACTCCTCATCTGAGTCTGGGTCTGACTGAGGCTCAAACATGTGGCTGAGTCTCTCTGATGTTTCCTCCTCTAACCGCCTGGATACTCTCTGCTTCTTCACCTGTCCACCTGGAGCAAGGAGGTGTTGGGCGGGGCATAAAGGCCTGATCCAGATTTTTCAATCAGGAAGTAGATGAGCTTCAGACCCAGTTTTTTATGTGTGAAAATGAGGGCTGCACAATTAATAGAAATACAACCGAAATCGAATTTGGCCAAGTTCAAATTGCAAAACGCAGGAGTTGGAATTGTTTTTTTTTGATAAAGGTAAAATGTGTCAGAACATTGTCATGCATTGTTAGCACCATTATTGTTCTGGTGCTACAGAGACGCCCTGGTCAATAAATCATATCCTCCAGATGTAAAGGAAAACATGTTTGTTTGGTACAAGACCAACAAAAATCACATCATCATAATTTTTTATTTTTCTTCAGTGAAAATGAAAATGCAGAATTCACCATTCCAACTATTGTATATCACAATCACAATCATGTAGCCCTAGTGAAAACCATGTTAAAACAAAACTTTTTCATAGCAGAGTATTTTTACAGAGTTGAAACATGTCTGGAGAGGAACGTTACCGTTGGGGAGATGTTGGGTTTCAGTTAAACATGATATGTCTGGTTTTGCAAGTCAATGGGGACTTCTTCAACATTTAACTTCCTCTGATGAGTATTTAAACAGAACACAACAACAATCGTATTCATGCTGAAGTTGGCATCAGAAGATACTGTTTTGCTGGAGTGGATAAACTATTGAAACATGATGAATGTTTTTGTAGATACATTTATTAACTTTCCATTTATGTTGATGGAAAAACACGTTCTGCAGCAAATAAATAATATAACAAACTTATTTCCTAGGTGACAAAGTTGTTGTTACTCACCCCTGCCAGTACGTCTGCGTCCAGCGGCTTTCTTGGTGCGAACCGTTGCGCTGGTTTCCCCAAGCGTGAAGCTCAGGCCCACAAACTCCATGTGGTCGGGGAAGACGTAAGGCACCAGCTTGACATTACTTCCTGCTGCGATACACATTCACCACCTCCACATCCCCTGCAGCATCATGGGAGCATCGTGAGACGGGAAAGATAAACATCTCATCTACAACTGATGGACTCACAGCTCCCAATGTAACTAACACCCTCTCCTCCTTTACAATACCTCACTGATCAGATATATATTAACTTCAGCTGATCGATTAGCTAATAGGAAAAAGGAAATGGAAAATGAAAGAAATCCAGTTATTTTATTTCCATTTTTAAAATTCTAGTATTTTTTCATGAACAAATTAATGTATTTCTAAATGGTTTATTAAAAGAGTGTTTTATGCTGGTTTTGTAAATAGATTTTTAAATCTGATTTATTGATGGATTAATAGTTCATTTATAAATTCTTTTTACCATTCCTCTTTTTAATGCCTATTAAAATATGAAATAAAGGAAATGCTTAATCACTTTTCCTGTGACGTCCTGGTCCTCCATAGTTAACAGAGTATATTATATATTATATAAGGTATGTTAATAAACTTTACCCATGAAATCACTTCCAATTAAATTTTCATTCAATACAGTTTTCCAGTATGATTTAATCAAAATGCCTCTTGCATTGAAAGATCTTATTTTCTAAACTCTTTAGCTGCAGAACGACGCAGCTGCTGGGTGAAGTGACCTCAAATGAATCTGATTTTTGAAACCTGGAATTTAAAAAGAATGTCGTATCCAGCGTACCTGTGAATCCTTCATCCACTGCACCCACAGATATAGGACCACTGCCTACATCACAATTTATGGTTGAAGTACCTTCAGGAACAGAAGGAAATACAAGTCAAAAGAAAGTAGACAGATAATAAACCTTCTCATTTACCACAACTGGAATCAAGCCAGGACGAACGTTCGTGTGCCCAGGTTTGGAGATACATACGGGACATGGAGCAGGAGCATTCTTAATATATCGAGCATTTAAAGGTTTTGTTGCTGTATTATATTATTTTCCATTTTATATTATTTTAAGTTCCATATCATTTGTGATTAAAATAATTGTATAAGTTTTGTATATTGTATATAATATTTGTATATATTATCCCTTTTTTTTAAATGGTGTAAAAATCCCAGACATATCATGTTTAACTGAAACCCAACATCTCCCCAACGGTAACGTTCCTCTCCAGACATGTTTTCAACTCTGTAAAAATACTCTGCTATGAAAAAGTTTTGTTTAACATGGTTTTCACTAGGGCTACATGATATGCAAAAAAAAAATCATATTGTGATTATTTTTGCAGATATTGTGATTGACAATGATGAACACACAGACACATGAGAGTGGATGCTGAG